ATGTGGGGCAAGCATGCACAAATTGGGACCCAGAAAGCTACCCAGCGAGCTACATATGAAGGCCCACAAGGAGGTGCAATTCAGCCTCTCAGCTTGGTTGCTTATCAGGGGCTGCAGAAGCATGCATGCGAACATGTGTGAATCATGCACCTGGCTGCATTCCATGTGGCGGGGCACAACCCTCATGTAGTGGGATAACTTTTCTCTTTATCCAGCACTTTCCCCTTCTGCAGCACAACGTTTTTCGTGCCTGAGTAGAATCGAAACTCGGCTAGGATGTGTTTGTTTCCGTGTGCGTGTGTTTTTTGTTGGTCAGCTGTTTTTAAGGCTTATCTATGTTTAAAAAAACCTTTTGATGAAGCAAAAAAGTGTGCCCCCTTGATTAACGAAGCAGCAGATTAATCAAGGCTTTTGGTCCTTCCTTCTCGCTCATTCTTGCCTACTCTAACCAGCAGTGGCTGTCGGGCAGAGAAAGGTCTTTCCTAGCACCTGCTATCCAGGATCCTTTAAAGAGAGATGAGGGACTGAATCTGGTACCATCTGTGTGCAGAGCACGTGCTCTGACACAGAGCTGCACTCTGAGCCTCTCGTTGAGGTGAGCATCACTCTTTTAGCATGGCACCTGCTACAGCACGGGCATGCACAAGCGCGGGGGGGGGATTACATTTCCTTCAAAGCAGTTGTTTTATTCCTCTGCACATTTATGCACAATCGATCAGTTTATCAAAACTGACATAATTCATTAGCTGAGATTTCTTTTAATTGGTTGATGAGCCCTAGTGTTTGAAATTCTTCAAAATAATTTTTTGCTGATCCTTTTATTCTGAAAACAGCTGCTGAATGTTATTTACTCAGAAAAGGACTGTCCAGAAGAGACTTTAAAAACCAATCTAGCAGAAAATATTCTGTTACCAGAGAGTATAAAATATATTTCGGATATTTTCATTTGTGTAAAGAACGCTATGCAAGTTGAATGAATGTTCCTTGAGTGTTCCATCTTGGGGAAGAAGAAGTTATAAGTCCCTTTTCCAAGTGTGGTCAGGGCAAGATGGGAGATGCGCACTAAATCCAGCAAATAAATGATCTTTTTTTCTGCGTGTGCATCAGTAAGTAAAAATTCAGTTTACCTTAATGGTGTGCAGATCTACCAGTCCTGTCTATAACAGTTGTGACGGACTTGTTACTTCAAACAGAATTCGTAATACCGTTGTTCATTTTATTTTCGCTGGCTTAGTTATCATTCACAAATGGCTGTAAAAAGCGAACAAAAAATATAGTACCAGGCCTAGAAATGTGGTTAAATGGGTTGCTGCAAGGGCTTTCCTGACCCATCCGGATTTGTTTCTTAGCAGAAACAGTCAGCTGCCAGGGTGACTGTTGGTGTGCTGGGTAAGGGAGAGCACTTCTGCTGATGGAGTAAGTGCACCTCTGTGCTTTGCACTATCTTGGTACATTTGTAGGGAGGGAAAGATGGAGGGTCTTATGCCACTGAAAGGCAGAGAGGGTTGCGTGGGATCCCGGAGGAAGGTGAACGTGGTTGGATCAGGGTTTGTTGTGAGACGTGTTGGGAAGGAGGCCAGCTGAAGACCACAGTGTAGACTCTCCAGCTGCAGCTACAGTGCCAGGTCTCACGGGGGGGGAGTGCTTTTGCCTTGTTGTCTGCATCAAGTTGACAAAAGTGAACAAAAATACTGCAAAGTGTATATACATCTATTCAAAATTCTTGTAAGCATCAATATACAAAAATACAAAATAACCACTTTTCATGTCGTTACAGGTGATGGACGAAATTCTCCGGAGTGTCCTTCGTTTCGTGAGAACTTCTTCTTACATCAACATGCGTTTAGTCCTCTTCATCAGTTCATAGACATTCCATACTGGATTCAACAAAATTCACAGAAGGGAGTGGGAGAATGAACACTATTTCCTTCTGTGGATTTTGTTGAATCCAGTATGGAATGTCTATGAACTGATGAAGAGAACTAAACGCATGTTGATGTAAGAAGAAGTTCTCACAAAACGAAGGACACTCCGGAGAATTTCGTCCATCACCCTGAGCCTGCTGGGGAGGGCGGGGTATAAATCTAACAAATAAATCTAACAAATAAATAAATAAACATGAAAACTTGATAAAGTAGTTATTTTGTATTTTTGTATATTGATGCTTACAAGAATTTTGAATAGATAAATATACACTTTGCAGTATTTTTGTTCACTTTCGTTCTTATGTACTGCAACCCCTTAGCCATTATACGTGCATCAAGTTGACAGCAAGCAAGCCTGGAAGGATAGACGTGCATAACACTGAAATCACATATTCATCCATTCCTTCAGCACCATATTAAAAAAAAACAAACACATTTATTGGAAAGTGCAAAACTGTACCAGGGAGTGGAGAGGGACTTCCCTTTGTGATGTCATAGGGGACAGCCAATTAGTCACCCAGCTTCTGGTGTCAGCTTATTTAGCATGTGTGTCTCCTAGGTCTTGACCCTAAAAAGGAACTGGTCCATTTGGACTGAATGCATGTCACTTTCAGAGCAGCCTCAGTGCCCTGAAAATGGGTCTGTGCATTATTTTCTCAGGACTGTGCCTGTTCGTCTGTGGCAAGACCCCCTTTGACCAGAACGGGTGCAGAATTTCCAAGGAACTAAACCAAGTCTCCCTCAGTGATATCCAAACTGTTCTTGTTACACAGCGGGGGGGGAGGCACTGGTGCTCCTAGAAAAAGCAATGCATCCACGCCTTCCAGAGCAGAAGGCACCGTGTAGCAATGATGCTGTCCTGTCTCTCTGCCCAGATATAGGTAGCAACATCATCCCGAAGGAAGAAGCTAGAGCCATGGGCAAAGGTGGGCATTTGCTGGGCCTCTGCTGAGCCCCAGGTTCTTGGAAGGGCCTAGTGTTGCACAGCAGCCGGTCCTCTCTGTGTGTGGTAATAGAGGCGGCATTGCCCCCCAAAAGGATTAGGCCATCCCAGCCTTCCTCTCTTCTGCCAGACAGAGGGGGAGGCAGGAGCAACTGCTGCAGACTCCTGTTCCTTCCCTTCTCAAGTTGAGCAGTGATCGCTACGAGGAGCAGCAGCTGCCTACCGGAGTGGGAGGGCTGGCATGTGGATGGCAGCCACAGCTTCAGAGTCATGGCCATGCCTGGGAAGGGTGAAAGGAACACTTGGAGACAGGCTTCATTTGGGCTCCCCTGCAGTTGCCAAGAGGATGCCTGCCTGTGATTGCAAGAGCTGATTGTGAAAATATGTATGCACCTCTGGAACTGGGGCTTGTCTATGCAGTGTGTGGAGAATGCTGGTCTCACTGTCCAAATGGAGCATTTGCTCATAATGTACGCACCTCATGTTATGCATTGGAAAAAAATAAATAAAGGAAGAATGTGCAGCTATCCTAAAGGAACAGAAGCCATGTGAAACTGATTGCAGTGTTCTCCCATATTATATAGTCTTTGTTTACAGCCCCTTTTAGACGTGCTCCTGTTATGCCTCTTTTACTCCCTTGCATCCCAGTTTATCTCTTATCATGTAAGATTTTATTTACTGTTATGACAACTGATGCAAGTTAAACTTTTTCTAACCTGTTTTTATTTTGAACAATTTTTTAATTGTGGTTTTCAACAAAATAAAGAAGGATTTTAAAGAAAAAAAATGCCTCTTGCTTCCCTCCACATCTCTCACTCCTTGTCTCCCAGGCTCTTTGACAACTTTTATGAGAGCAAACCAGAGGAACACACAATGTATTGCTTTGTTTCCTGCAACATGATTTTGAAAATGACCAGGTTATTAATTTACCATTTTTGTTGTTCCTGTCTTTTGATTCAAGAGGATCCCTGTGATAGCTTACAGGAAACAGCCAAACACAAAATCCATTCAAAAACCATAGTATGTATCCAGTTCTAAATGTCAGTGCTGCCGATCAAGTTCATAGTAGAGAGCATACAAATGTTATGGCCAGAAGAGATTATTTTTTCCCCCCAGAGAGTTTGAAAGCTTGTTGCTTGTACAATTTTCCTGCTTTCACTCATGCTAAATAGGTTTTTTTGACATTGTTTCAAAAACCTGCAATATAACCACAGGACAAAAGAAATAGCCGTGCACCTTGTGGGATATGAAAACTCCATTCAAACCACTTTTCTTAAAATTCATGTCTGTCTCAAAGTTTAGCACAGTAAAGATGACATTTACTTTATTAAGTTTTCAAAACAGTGCTTGATAATGTTCTGGAAGGTCGTTTTCAAAAGACCGACTATGAAACATGCGCCTGCATTTCTCACTTGTGTGCTGTGGGAGATACGGCTCATTCATTGCTGCGTGTCTTATGACCCCAGTCCAGCTCTAGCCGCTTTTCATTGGATGCCAGTCGTGGTCCCAGATTGTATTGCACATCCTCATCTGCACCCGTACAATTCAGTGGTGTCCGGATAAACCCTGATGTGCAACTGCACCAGCTACAACCATGCATCAGAGTGTTTGCACAACATGTTATTTCCTGACTTAGAGAAGGTCCTGTTGTACAGTGCTGCGACAGAAAACTGAGCAACTCCTTCAAGGCCGTGATGTGAAGACGACTTGGAAAATAGCTGACTTCACGCTGCTTGTTTTAAAGTCGAACGATACAACCAGAAAGGAGAGATTGATCTGGGTTTCTTTTGGATATGATGCACTGTTTTCCAGTAACTGGTTTGGGTTTTGGCCTACTGAAACGGAAAGCAAAACAGGCAGTGATCCTAAGACTCATTGTGCCAGCACACGAGGGATCAGGATGGGGCCTAGCCACACTGCCTCTAGGACACTTACACAGAACTTCTGACACCCAGCTGTTATATATGTGGGTTTGAGGTCCCCACCCAGCATTATATTTCATGTTCTGAGGATTAACATTCCACTTCTCTGTTAATAAATAAAATAAAATAGGATGACAATAAAACCCAAGAGGAATGAGGTTATAAATATTACGGACTGAAGGAAGGTACTTTGTTCAACAAAGTGAAGCTTCAAGGGCTCTTCTCAGAGATCTCAAACATGCCAAAGTATGTGTTTCCGTGATCGTAGTTCACTCTGGAGGAGTTTGTCACATTGATGAAGACCGTGTGCCCTTGCTGGAGCTCGACAACTCTTCCAAGATGAACTGACTGCAGGCTACATACGTTATCTGTAGAGCCAGGGGTTCTCATTCCTTTCAGCAGTAGCTGGTCTCTCTCAGAAGGCAGATGCAGGTACATGTACACAGTGAATGGCTCATGTGGCTCAGATTTCACGCAAAAGGTGACTTGGGCATAGATGTAGTATCGTCCTCCTCTGTCAACTTTTAGCTTTCCATCTTGGTAGGAAAATGTGCTGTCACTCGGTGCATATAGTGCCTCAGTCCATTGCAAAACTATGGGAAAGAACAGATTTATTTTTATTTGTCTTATATGAAGCACATTTTGTCTGAATCAAGCCAGTGGTCCATCTAGCTTAGTATTTGTTGAGAAAAATCCCGTCAGTGGCTGCATTGTATTATGGAGCACTTTATTAGGACCCATTAAAATATCCCATGTGCTGTACGAACTTTTGAGTTCCCTAATACTGTTTATCAGCCTGAATGTTGAACACAACAAAACCAAGTGGGAGGGAGAGATGTTTCAGGACAGGACGGATAGCCCAGAAGTCTGTAAATTGCCATATGCCTCAGAACACAGGATGCATTTATTATGCTGACATAGATCAGTTTAAGATCCAGCCTAATGAAGAGTTCTGTGGAGCTCAAAACCTTGCTCATAAATTTGTGATTACTTGTGTTTTTGAGTCTCCCCCCCTCCCAATTATCTAACACAGCTATCCATGCTTCTTATCTCTTTAGGGAAATACCAGCAACTGGATTTAGTGTGTGTGGGGTCCTCCAAGCACTACCCCATTAGGTTCCTGTTGACTTGTTACATACATAGTGCACTTTGCTGGAGACAGATCGAAGCTACTACTTGTGTTTTTGAGTCTCCCCCCCCCTCCCAATTATCCAACACAGCTATCCATGCTTTTTATCTCTTTGGGGAAATACCAGCAACAGGATTTAGTGGGTGGGGGGTCCTCCAACCACTACCAAACACTACCCCATCAGGCTCCTGTTGACTTGTTACATACATAGTGCACTTTGCTGGAGACAGATCGAAGCTACAGCTGGCATCAACAGGAGAGCTGCCCCATGATGCCCTGAAACTTCTCGTAGGTGTTCTCCTCTACCTTTTTTTTTTTTTAGTAAACCTCCAGCCTGATGAAGAGTTTTGAGGAACTTGAAAATTTGCTCATTATTTTAACATTCTAGTTATCCTAATCAAAGATGGTGTGCTTCTGATGTTCTCTGCAGCTGTCATAAATACAGTTGTATGTTATATAATTTATGTCTCTCTCTGTACTTCCTGATTTACAGTTTGGGCTGTCAACTCTGGGTTGGAACATTCTTGGAGATTTGGGGGTGGAGCCTGGGGAGGGGAGGGGAGAGTATAATACCGTAGAGTCCACCTTCCAAAGCGGCCATTTTCTGCAGAGGAACTGATTTCTGTAGTCTGGAGATCAGTTATAATTCTGGGAGATCTTAAATCAAGACCCACCTGGAGGTTGGGAACCCTGTTTACAATGGCTCTCAATATTGTGAGGACCCATGACAAGTATCTGACCAGATGGGCTCTAGCCCATGAAAGTTTATGCTAGAATTTTTTTAAAAAAAACTTGTTTGCCTTTACAGTGCCACAAGCTTCCTTTTATCCTTGCTGGTGTGTTTGGATCTAGTCCTTGTTGCTGATCAGAGTAGTTGTATCTCTGAAAAGGAAAGCGGTCTATCATGGCTAACAGTCAGCCCTAGAAACTTCCCCCCACAAATTTATCCAGTCCTTAAGAAAAAGGGGAAAAGAGATAAGACTGGCTATATGTTGTTTTTTGGTTCATCTTGGAGCCAATAAACATCAACAAAAAGCACATATACAGGCCTTTCAGAAATGGTGATGATAACCAGGGCTCTAGTCGGGGGGGAGCTCTCAGGTACGGAGCTCCGGAAGAGAACCTCTAGGGGGCGGGGCGGTCACGTGGTGAAGCCCCGCCCCCTTCTTTACCCCGCCCCCTGCTTCGATCCTCATTCCGTTTGGGAATGAGGATGAAGCAGGAGGGTAAGTAGCCGGGCCTTCTGACACACTTCCGGTGATGTCAGGGGGTGTGGCCTTCTGTCACTTCCGGTGATGTCAGGGGGCGTGGCATATGCAAATAAGTTATGCTAATGAGTTATGCTAATGAGCTCCGGCAGCTCTTTTTCTACAACAAGACCCCTGATGATAACTACAGAATACAAGCAGGGATGGCACACGTGAATGCTTTCCTGTGTCAAAATTTCCCTGTGTGTGGAAAGATGGCATGTCAGGGAGACAGCTAGGCACCTTTCTTGCTTCACACAGTGGACATATCTAAAAATTTATATTGGGTGTAGTCTAGTTCAGCTGTCATGTCCCCCCCCCCCCAATCCTGGGAGTTGGAGCCTGATATAAGTGCTGAGAATATTAGAGATAACTGATAACTATAACTAATAAGCAACTCCCAGGGTTCCCTGATTGGATATGATTACTATTATACCACTTTAATACTATAGATATGTCTTTCAGGGTTTCAAAGGGATGTCATTGGTAGAAATCCAGCCAAGCAGTTTGAATGACATTATAGCTTTAATAAATAACCCCAACAGAACCCCTTTCCTTTCATTTTCTGTCCAGCCAAGTTGCTTGTGGTCTCAATGCATTCTTGAACTTTACTAATTGCAGCTGGACAGCGGGCAGGATTGGACCAAAATCTTGCATTAACTATTCTTCCTGTATTTAGTGCTCAGTTTAATTCTTTGATTAAACACATACGCAGTGGGAAAATGCTGACTGTGTTGTGGTTTCCTCTCATAATTGCACCCTCCTCCATAACAACATCAGCAATAGACTCTTTCAACCAATACCTGATGCTGGCTGAGAGTTGTCCCGGAAACCTGCAAGGTGAATGGACGCTGTTGGCTTCTTCCCTGAAAAGAAAATGGCTCTCAGTTGGCTTTTCATATACTAGAGAAGGTACAGTTTGGCTCAGTGTGATCCAGTATCTTAAGAGCTGAGGTACATTAGATGATCTAGAACTGAAATGTAAGAACTAAATTGTGAACAACTTTGGAGTCAGACCTTGGATCTTCAGCTTTTAATTTTTCCAAACATTGCCTTTTAACTGACAAGTTTTCTTAGCTCTTAACCGTAGATAAGGCATACACATTCTAAGGCTTGCTCAGAAGACCATGGGGCCATGTGCTGACTCATGGTGGCGGTGGAAAGTGCCATCAAGTTGCAACTGACTTATGGTGACCCCACAGGGTTTTCAAAGCAAAAGACATTCACAGGCGGTTTGCTGTTGCCTCCTAGGAATGTACAAAGCTGCCTCATATTGCGTCCTGCGTACTCAGAAGCGGCTACACTGATTGACAGCTGCTCTCCAGAATCTGAGGCAGAGGAAGCGCTCTCTCCAAGCCTGTCATTTTTTAACTGGAGATGCCAGGGATTTCTGTACATAACACAGGTATGTCATGGAGCCATACAGCCTTCCCTCAAACAGGTCTTTCCCCTCCCTCCCCGCAGGCAAGCTTGTCTGAGATGCAGGAAGCACAATTGACAAAACTCTTTGATGAACTTGACTGGGAACAGATATCAAATCAGATCAACCTGTCACTTCCCAGAAGTTAGCCCCACCGAATTCAGAACCGATGTGTGTAAGTGCAAATTAAGAAGGTGGGGGCATGTCAGGAGCAGTCATAACAAGTCCAACGAGGAGGAACATTGACGGGAATCTTCATAGGAGGTGACAGATATGATTGGCTGGACCAATTAAAATAACTTTGTTTTGGCAGAAGCTGCCACCACAGTGCTGGTTTTATTCTCTACCACATTCCTCTTTCCCAGTGTATTTTTAAAAATAATTCCTCACGTCCTCTGCACTTCAGCTTTTTTTGGGGGGGGGGCTCTGCCTCCCACAGCAGCTATTTTGTGGTTGGCTCTGCCTTCTACACTGACCATTTTCTGGTTGTATGCACTACCCTGTGTCAGAATTCGAAAGGTGCCCACAGGCTCAAAAAAAGTTTGAGGCCCTTCACAAGGGCTCTAGCAGTTTAAAAAATGGTTTGGAATTAGTTCCAATAATACTACTCATGGTTCAGAGTGTATTATTGGTTCTATATTGGCCCCAGTTTTGTCTTGTTTCCTTGGCTGTGTGATTACTGGGAGGTCTGTTTTGTTTGGATTTGGAATTAGTTCCAGCATTTCCATTTCCATCATATACCTAGGCCTGCCCGATTTTCAAAGCCCAATTGGGGCACACCAATTGCCATACATTAAGACAGCACAGCGGGGGCGAGGGGCTATAGCTTTGCATATCCCTGGCATCTTCACACAAAGACACACAGGCAGCAGGAAACATACCACACACCTGCCCCTCCCAACTCCAGAGATCCACCACCCGCCACAGTGGGCAACACTGGACTAGATGCCTCAACGGTCCAACTCAGTACAAGTTGTTTTTCTGGGTAACACATTCTAACCTCGCTCTGCTCTTTTGAAACTCACAACCCATGGCTTTTCAGTCTGTCCCAAATTATTTAACCTCTTTGGGGCACTGAAGTTTGAAAGGAGTCATTCCAGCCCTCAGGACATCAGGTTGGATCCAGCCAGTTTTTCTACTGGTGAAAAAGGAGAGGGGAAGTCCCCTTTGGTCAACAAGAAGGTTATACTGGGAATCATGGGATCTGCACGAACAACAGCCATTGATGAGGTACTGTAATAAACAGAGCAAATGGGCAAAATTTAGTGGGAAAGTTGGCTGGATCCAACCCATTGCTTCTTTCGGCCTAATTCTTAAGGTCAATCACATACCTTTTTGCATGGCAATGGTACTTTCTTCAGGAACCTGGAACAAAATGATTTAAAAGCCCTATTAGTGAAAGCACAATAGCATCTATGCAATGCATGCTACACAAGACATTGATGAAAACTCAGTGGCTGGCAGATAACATTTTATCCTATGGGAAACCCTTCTAGACTTCTCATCAAGAACATATCCCCAAATAGGATTATATTATCAGGGTTAGGTTAGATGGTTGTGTAAGGGTGGGGCGGGGGAGAATCAAAGTCTTGGGCCCTAGGAATGATTAATGTGGTCCTAGTTTAAGGTGGAAAATAGGGTCAAAATTATGAGACACCATTAGAACATAAGAAGAGCCTGATTGCATCAGACCAATGACTCACCTAGTCTAGCATTCTGTTTCCCACAGTAATCAACCAGATGCCCCAATGGCAAGCAGGGCAAGAAGCCTCCCCCAATGTTGCCCTCTCAACAACTGTTATGCAAAGGTATACTGCTTCTCAACATGGAGGTTCCATTTACTCCATATTAATTCAGAAGGAGTAACTACCCTTTCATACTTTTGTTCACAGAATCAATCCATATGTTCCTGGAGTAGCAAGGTTACCTGCCCCCCCCCCACTGGCCTGTTCCTAACTTAACTTAGTATAACCTTTATAAAGACACACCCATTTGGATTGGTCCAATGACATGGTTCCTATCTGGGACAGTGAGTCAAAGGCTGGCATAGTTAAACATCCCCTGAGGCCCATGGCCCAGCAGAGGTTGCTTGGTCCAAGCAGGAATAAGTGAATGCCCTAGAAACCCCTGTAGTTTCACCTGCTGGGAGAAGCACCCAGGGAGGCAGCAGAGTGCAACATTTTCCCAGAATGCAACATTTTCCTGGTAGGGCTTAAAGACATGCTACAATGTCACACTCCACTTCCTTCTCCAACTATGTGTATGGAGAGTGTGCATGCATGAGGGAACCATGTGCTTAATGGAGGGGACACTTGAGAACATCTTGCCAATGGCCCCTCAAAGCCCAGAGCCAGTCCTGTTCACCCCCACCAACTGATCTTGAATGCATATCCTGACGGTGTATTGCTGACTGTGAAAATACTTCCCCTGTAAAGGTTATCTGGGGCAGGCCTTCTGCCTGTGACTCAGAGTCTTCAAAAGCTTTTGTTCTTACTGGATTTGCATGGTGAGAATGCTGCGACAGGAAAAGCTATTATATAAACGGAAAGTCTAAAACAAGGGCATGAAAATCTTCAACGAGGCGGCTGCAACTTTGTTGATTTCCTTTGTACCACCACCAGAACTAGTTTCGAAGTGGCAGCTTTTGCTTTTCCTTTGCCTGAATGGGCTGCCTGCCTGCTGTGCAGCGACATGGCTGGTGATGGCAGGTTGGCTATCGCTCCACCAGGAAAAGGTCACCTACTGCATTTCTGCATGCCATGCAGCAGGCTGTTAGCAACTGAGTTGGCATCGTGAGCTTGCCAGCAGTGACTGGCACCTTGTGGTAGATTAGGAGGGCAGAGTCATGGGGGGCACTGTTACACTGATGGCATGAAATAATTTCCAGGCCAAACCTGAAAGTGACATCACATTACTCTAGAATTCAGCAGAAACTCCATGATTTTACCATAGAACTTCAACGGAATTTGAGAACGGTATGACATCATTTCTGGTGATGGTATGACATCATCCCAGAAATAAAAATCCACAGCATTTTTTCTTCACCAAGTGGCGGTGCTGGCAGTAGGTCTTCGCTATAGCAGGAGACATGGAAATCCTATCTTGGCTGAGGCAGGCAGAACGAGAGAGAAATCTCTTATTGCCTCATTTGGCCTGATCAAGGCACTAAAGGTCAAGGTGGGTTGGACAGCAATCTCTGTTCAAGCATCTGCTTTGCACATAGAAAGGCCCAGGTTCAATTCTTGGCATCTCCAGTTAAAAAGATTTCAGATAGCAAATGCTGATGAAGAGCATTCTTTGCCTGAAACTTTAGAGATAACGTTACTAGTCTTTACAGACAATACTGAGCCAGATAGACAAATAATCTGACTTGAAAGCAGGGGGCATGAGTCAGAGGCCAGGCACATGCTTTCGATGAAGAAAGTAACATTTCAAATATTCATATACTCTCCAATTACAAGACCCTTGGGCACAGTCAGAAATGTGTCTTATACCAAGTATGAAATGCACATCGCAGTTCAGTTTGCCTAGGAGCCATACAGGGAAGGGAGAGGGTATTGAGCCCTACAACTTCTATTTAGTTTTGCCATTCAAAGCCAGGCTTTGTTATTAGCATGGGGGGAGTGTTTGTTAAATAACATATCTTTTCTCCTTTAAAATGCTAATAACAAAGCTAGGTGCTTATTTTTATGGCAAAACTAAGAGGAGGTTGCAGGGTTAAACATCCTCTCTCTTCCCTGCACAGCTCTGAGGTAAATTGGGTCCCCAATGAGCCCTTTCTTGTCTTCCTACTGGAGTGTGACGAAACAATGCTAGAATCAACTAGACCACAGATGAGCAGAGGTGGGCAAATCTAATTTTGCAGGGCTTGTTGCCTAAAGGAATGCTCAAACACCAACCTGGTTAGCTTATATTCTGCTTGCCATTCACAAGCAGGGAGCCCATTTTTGATGGACTGTTCAGCTGTCTATGTGCAGCTCAAACCCATTTTTAAACTTGCTTTTAGTGCATTTTAGCACAATGCAATCAGCAGTACTTCATGAATGGGCATTCTTACACAGCCAAGATAGTCCTAGATTCCCCTCCCCCCCTCTTCCCCTTTGATCACTGCTCATGTGGAGGAGTGGGGAATCAAAGCTGGTTCTTGACCTGGACATCCACAACCCTGAGGGGCAATTTTATTTCAACTGGTGCACAGATGCAAAAAGTGCTTACAAGGCAGAAGGAAATTGAACTGAAACATTCTAGCAATAGTGTAGAAGCTGCAAAGCTGCTCAACAGCTGCTCAACACCAGCCATGGGAAGGTGAGAAGCAGAAGAAAAAAAATTATACCCTGCTTTTCTCTACCATGAGAAGTCTCAGAGTGGCTTACAATCACTTTCCTTCCTCTCCCCACAACAGACACTCTGAGGTAGGTGAGACTGAGAGAGTTCTGAGAGAACTGTGACTGGCCCAAGGCCACTCAGCAAGCTTCATGTGGAGGAGTGAGGAATCAAAGCTGGTTCTCCAGATTAGAGTCCACCACTCTTAACCACTACACTATGCTGGATGTTCAAGGTTGTTTCAAGGTTCAGCCATGACGGCTATCAAATACAGTATGTTTCAAAAAGTTTGCAGTGCCTTTAGCTGCATATTTAAAGAAACGAACCAGCCACATTTTAGATGATGCCTTACCTTCCTTGTTGTTGCGGGGAAAAATGTTCTGGAGGGCAAATCAGAGTCCCGGGTACCATGCAGTTTTTGTGCAACACTTGTTTGGTCCCGGAGATCTGAGAAAACGTTTAAGATTGCTGTACAATCCAGCAAAGTTGTGTCAGCATCTCGTGGTTTCAGACATTTCTGCAATCTTCTAAGGAACAAGAACTCTTCTCGTAAATTCATCTCATCTTCCACCTGAAAAATCAGAGAAAGCAAGTTTGTTTACACCAAGGTGTGATAAATGTAACAAATCATCTTGGACTGTGAAAAACAACAAGGGTTTAGTTTCCAGAGAGAAAACGAATAAATAAATATGCAGAGGAAGGCTGGATGCCGGAAACCCACCCTGGTCTAATTCTAACAAATCTGATGAGTATTTTGCTTTCTAGGTGTTCAGGATGATTCCCAGTGCAATGCCAGACACTGAGACCCTCCATTGAAATCAGTTGGCCTAAGGATTCTGGGCTTGGTGTTTGATTGTGGTCAGTGAATCTCTGGCATATAACAGCTCACCAATCGGAAAAGCAGTTCCTTGACTGTTCTACTATGCAGCCAGGTCTATTTTCAGACCACCAAGAAGATTTATTTGTTACATTTGTTACATTTTTCTCCTTCTTCCTCTAAGGAATTCAGGGATGCATGCTCATTTCCTTCACATTTTATCCTCACCTTTGAAGCCATGGCTCCATAGCTGGGTGCTTGCTTTCCATGCAGAAGGGCCCAGGTTTTGTCCCTCGAAACTTTAGTTAAAAGAGGTTAGCAGGTGTGGGAAAGGAGTTTCTTGGCTTGAAACCCTAAAGACCCACTGGATGTCGGAGTGCAAAGTACTGAGCTAGGGTGATAAACAGTCACGAAACAGCATGAGGCAGCTTCCCATGTATCAGAGGATACAGTTATTTTTCCCAAATAAACATTCAGTTCCCTGCGTACAAAAGCACTGAGAAATATCCTTCTGAGAGAAGCTCAGTGTGAGGACATTCACCGGCATGCTCTGACTTTGGTCTTACAAGCAAGCAACAAATTCTGCTTCCACGCTTTTGTGAAGGTCAGTTGTCTAAGCTTTCCCCTTTGCCTCTGGTCCTGTTCCCACAATAACTACTCCAAATCAGTCTCATCTTGTCAGTGTTAAGTAGTCCCGATGTAACTTGATCCCATGACTTCAGGAGCTTTTGGAGAGGAAAGGCCAAAGTAATCAAGATGGCAGAAGATCTGTGGTCTTTTTCTTCCATTTTCTTAGAAGTAGCCACAGAGAGGGTGGAACAATTTGATTGGGACCAGGGGGCATACAAAGGAAAGGTTTTGCCTACCCCAGCATTGCAAGCCTGTTCTGAAGCATTACCCCACTCGTCGCTTTGTTTAAAAGGCCAGGCAATCCAAACACGATTTGATTGATTAGGTTTAGGTAATTTAGTACTCCGCATTTCTCCTCAGTGGGGACCCAAAGGGACATACAGAAATATGAAATATAATTTTTAAAACAGCTTAAACCAAATACAATTGAAGTAAATATCAACAATAATGACAACATCCTGAGCCGGTTCTGAATCCCATGGGGCTGCTCACATGATAGCCACAGGATCTCCCGCCATCTTGTGTACCTCGGCTCTAAGACAGAATGAACTGCTGCTTCCTTCGATAAATAGGGCTGACCTTTTTGCAACACATTTCAGATTTGAGGAAAGTTTAGAATTTGAATTTGACTGTGAATTTTGAAAAAGTTGATTTTGCATTTGACAAAAGCATATCCTTTAAAATGGAAATGAATTTTAAGACTCGGACACTAATTCCCCTCCCCAACATTCAAGCTTTTGCACCTCCCTGCACCCCAAATTCCTGAATCCAACAGCCCAAATAATTGGGAAAGATGGCAAACTATTTTGGAATCTAGAAATATAATCTATAAAGGAACCCATTCTGACCCTTGCTGCCTTTTTCCCTTTTCCCTTTTCCTAATGCATGCAAAGTTCTGTGTACGAGAGTCAGATAGCTGCACAGATAGCTGCACAGATAGCTGCAAATATTGGGGAGAGACTGGATAAGCTCCCCAGTTGATTTGCAAGCAAATTTGAGTTCATACCATTTTGGAGGGGGGGAATAGCATTTCTAATATAAATAATTAGTTCAATGTCTTACGGTCTTTCCACACTCAGGACCTATTTGAGACAGCCACCTGTAAACTGGTTTTTAATTTTTATCAGATTATTAATTTTACTGTATCTTCTCTGGCTTTTCTATCGTCTATTATTGTTTTGTCCAGCCAGTTCTCTAAGGAGTTCAAGATGACATACGTGGTTCTCCCTCCTCCATTTTATATTTCTGTGGGTTAGCCAGTGGGTTATGCTAATGAATGTCCCAGGGTCACACAATAATCTTCATGGGTGAATAGAGACTTGAACCTACTTATCTGCAGTCCTAGTTTAAAACTCTAGTCACAACCCTATACTACACTGGCTTTTCTCTGTCTCTCTCTTTTTCAGTACTTTTTCTTGTTCCAAGAGCTGACTTTAGTGCCATTGGTGTGAGCTAAGAATTCAAGAACGTAAAGATGAGCCCCGCTGGATCATACCAAAGGTCCATCTAGTTTGCTTCCACATGTTGATGATTCTCCACGGAGCTCTCACCACTGCCATGAATGCCTGTGCATTCACAGCAGCAAAGGAGCATCCACATGGCAGATTTTCCTGTACTTTGATTGACTCCAGGTCAACAGCGCTAAAATAGGTCACCTTCTGATTTTAAAAAGCAACTGGGGAAAGCCTTCCAGTTGTCTGGGGAGGGGAGACAGACATAGGGGGAGAGGGTTGGGCAAGAAAAATATTCAATATTTCCCAAACATTTGTAGCAAAGCAGGGGGAAAACCTGGCTCCATTCATGCCAAACCGGCATGTGGAAGCAACCGTTGTCCAGCATCCAGCCAGATGATTCCAGGAAGTCTAGACAGAGGACATAAAGGGTTAGGGCTCTGCAGGTGGGGAAATAATATGACCTTAATCTTCATATACCAGCTCTGAAGATGGAGGTTCTGTTCAGCTATCATTGGCGAACTACGGATGGAATTATCCTCCATTACTTTGTGTTTCAAAATATCATCTAAGCTAGTGGCTATCTTATCTCATGGCAACTAATTAATTAACATTAATTGTGCAATGTGTGAAACAATACTTCTTTTTGGTCTGTCCTGAATCTATTCTATAGAAAAGCACAGAATTAATCACTCTAGGCTATGAAAGGGTTCCACATTCTTCCTTGTTCCTGGGATGGCTGGAATGGTGGTTCTAGGATTTTTGGCAAGGAATAGACAGTTTAAGGACTGAAGGATTTAAGAGCTGTCATTGCCCTCAGTGTTCACAGATTTTGCAGTTTCCAAATACTTACAAAAACGTTTATAACCAAAGATGAGTTTGGGTCACTGAATCTACAGCCAAGGGGTTCATTGCACCATTCTGAAACACTGAAGAATGCGAACTATGGCCCCAGTCCAAACTGGATTCTGTCTTATTATAGAAACAGGAGGCAAGCATTACTGCAGTAGTTAACAGCAGTAACTATGGATAAGCTGCAGTTGTCCACACATCCTGAACAAACCCTGAGAGACATGGGGAGGCAGTAGGAGGTGACTGCAGCTCAGGGACCGGCTACACAGTATGTTGGGTGTTCCATGTATGGAGCTCCCAGAATTCTTTAAAACTTATTTACAAGGCACACAAGGGCCCAATTTCAAATGGTGCTATGGTGCCAGCAGAGGGGATTTATGTTTTTATTTATACCCCACATGCTTCCCCACTGGGGACACAAAGAGGTGCACAACGTTGTTCTCCCGCACTCCAATGTATCTTCACGACATCAACCCATTGCTGTAAATTAGGCTCAGAGTGACTGACCCAAGGTCATCCATCAAAGCTTCTCTGGCAAACTGGGGATTTGAATCTGGGTCACTCTAACCACTAGACCTTGCTGGCTCTTTTAAATCTCCCCCTGTGCCATTTCCCTGATCAAAATAGTGGCCTTGGGAACATGCAATTTGTCCCGCTGTGAAAGCATAAACATACACAAAAATGCTCATTTGAGGCCAATTTTGGTTGGGAAAATGTCAAGGGAGGCAAGATTGAAAAGCACCATCCTCTTACGCCATGGTCCATATCTGAGCTGGGCTCCTGTGCACCCAATGAGGGTTGTTGTTTTTTTAAATGCTGGGAGGTATACACGTGAAGCTCCCAACATATTGGGTAGTTTATCCCCCAGTGGTAGGGCAGCTGCTTTGTGTGCAGAAGGTTCCATTTGCAGCATCTCTAGTGAAAGGATGTCAGGTAACAGGTGCTTGGAAAAGACCTTTCTCTGCTTGTCATCATGGAGAACTGTCACCAGTTGGAGGGAATGATATACACACATACAAAGCTGCCTTATACTGAATTAGACCATTGGTCCATCAAGGTCAGTATTGTCTATTCAGACTGGAAGCTGCTCTCCTGGGTCTCAGGCAGAGGTCTTTCATACTACCTGATTCTTTTACTTGGAGATGCCAGGGATTGAACTTGAAACCTTCTACATGCCAAGTAGATGCTCGGCCACTGAGCCACAGCCCCCCCCCCTGCATTAAAAAGCAGCTTCATATGTTAACATCTGTAGCCAAGTGTTTGAAAAGGGTTAACTGAGTGGTTATGGGATGCACATTTCAGCACCTGCAGTCCTTTCCTTTTACTTCTGTTTTCCAGTAGCTGCTGAGTTGTACACTTTGAAGGCTGCCTGATAGTTGCCTGAATACCAGAATCCCTGTTAAAATAACCCTCACAGTGAGTATCTGTGGTTTGGGAAGGAACATTTAGTGGTCCTGGGTGTGATATTTTCACTGTGCCTCAAAGGCAGAACACCTGCTTTGAGTACCAAAGGTCCCAATCCTTGTCACTGATGGCTACCAAAGCATCTTGGGAAGCAGGTGCTGGGCAAGACCTTTCTCTGCCTCAGACACTGAAGAACTGCCACCAGTCAGAGTAGATAAGGCTGAGTGAGACAAAATCACAGTCTGGCTCGGATTAAGGCAGCTTCTTATGTTTGTGAAGCCTTTCTGTTGCTTAGCAGTTAAAACTATTCTTATTCACTAACCCACACCAGTCATGAAACCCAGTCTTACCTTGTCCAGCTTCATGTGAAGATATAAACCAAAAAGTACAGCCCCAACTAGCTGAGCTATCACAAACGCGATGATCAAGTACAGGACTGTTTTCATGGCGACGGTGGTGGCAGCAGGTCTAGGGGTCGTTGGGGAATATGGCTCGTTCGGGTCCATGTGCCTCCAGCGTCCGATGCCCACTGCACACACAGCATGAATACCACTTTACACTTACTTTGCGCAAGACATGGATGAGACGCTCGCAGTGTGCTGCCCACAACTTCCTGGGGAACAAGCTAGTCTTCCACTGTGGGACGTTCTGATCGGTGTCATCTCCTCAGCAGCAGCAAAACAAAGTCATTGTTTGAGCTCTCTAGGATGCTTCACTTCCAGGTCGTTGCCTACTACTATGTCAAAAGCCACATGTATTCCTCTCCCAGTGTGTTCACATACTGCCACCCACTTCCCCCCCCCTCACGAATCACTGTTTTTGTCTCGCTGGACTTCAAAGAAAGGAAGAATCCATGATCGAAGTCAATTTTGAACATGGTAACCAGCTCACAGGAAAGCAACATAATCTTTTGCTCAACTGCTGGACTAGAAAAAGAGGCGAAGATGTATTTAATGCACTGAAAGGAGGGAAATAAGGATGCCACCACACATTAATGGTAGCTGCTGAGCCATGAATCAACGCAGGGTTGATTTGCACTTTTACAAGTGTATATATAACAGTCTTCTGAAATCTTCTCTCATGGTGGTTGGTAGCATGTGAACTGGCCAGTTTTTGGCACGTTAATGCAAAAAATGTTAACTTGTATATCTGAGGTGGTTTAAAAATAAATTGCCAAATTCATGTACCACTGTGCTTGAATGCCCTGACCTGGATGGCCCAAGCTAGCCTGATCTCATCAGATCTCAGAAGCTAAGCAGGGTTGGTCCTGGTAAATATCTGGATGGGAGACCACCAAGGAAGCACACAGAGTCACTGAAGAGGCAGGCATTGGCAAACCACCTCTGAATGGCTCTTGCCTTGAAAACCCTAAAAGGTTGCCATAAGTCAGCTGCGACTTGATGGTAAAAATATATATATGCTCGAATAGTAATTGTAGCTACATGAAACAATGATAACTGTTCTCTGTGAGGTAACTGGTTATGGAAAGTGCCATCAAGTCAAAGCCAAATTGTCGAAATCCTGTAGGGATGCTCTGTCATCTTGGTGCTTGGGTGGGGGGGTCAACAGTGGGATGGCTTCTAATGTCCTGGCCCCACTGGTGGACCTCCTGATGGCACTGGTATTTCTGGCCACTGTGTGATACAGAGTGTTGGACTGGATGGGCCTTGGCCTGATCCAACATTGGCATCTCTTATGTTCTTATGTTCTTAAGGCAAGAGAGGCGGGTTGCCATTGCCTGCCTCATAGCAGCCATAGACTTCCTTGGTGGTCTCACATTCAAGGACTAACAAGAGCAGACCTTCTTTAGCTTGCAAGATCTGATGATATCAGGCTAGCCTAGGCCACCCCGGTCAGGGTCCATGAGGTAGCTGGCAGGTGTTAAAGTAGCTCTCAGGGAATGACATCCAAAGGGCTCCTCCAGGTACACCTAAGAGCCAGTGGAGTTTTTGAATGCTAGAGAAATATGCAGAGCAGCAATCTGTTTTTGAGGTGTCCCTCAAATTCAAAAGTGGTTTGCCATAACATGTGAGAGGCTGTTGTTTCAGAAAAGACGAGCCTGGCTTTTGGTTGCTTAGAAAAAGTTTGCATAGTACTTTATTTAGATCCTGGCCTGTGTGAGTCTATCCAGCTTCCTAGTAAAAATACTTCATGGAGAGCATTCAATTGCTGGTCTTTGGAAGTATCCAAAAGAGGCAGTATAAAACTGGAACGTTGTGGGGGTAGGAAGAAAGAAAGGTTCTGAACAGGTTATCTATCCTGCGTTATCAGGCACTTCCTCTGAAATAATAAAACACAATCAGGAGATTGTGCAGAAGAGTTCCAGGTGGGTTTTATTCAGCGTTAAGGACTATAGGACACTGTGAAAAATGTACTGCAAGTTAATAGGAGTCAATAATAACATTAAAATAAAGGAGGGGTATTTTTTTAAGACACATAAGACTTTTGATGTAGTTAAATAATCCTTTCTCAAGAAAGTGATCTGTCACTTCAGGTTGTGTGGGAAACAAGTGCTGTGAATTTCTTTGCTTAGAACTATCACTAAAAATACAACTCAGTGTTAAAATGCCAAAAGTTGGTTTAAAATTATCCAAACGCCTGGTTTTGCACGAATAGCCCAGCTAATTCCTTAAAAGAAGTATTAAGCATTAAGTGCTGATTTCAAGTTATAACTGTAATGAAAAAAACCTCAGAATTATTAGGTTGAATTCTAGATTACAAGAGTGTAGTTTAATTTCTATAACAAAGTTTGCAAAATAGGGTAAAATGTTGGCCAATATCAATATACTAAGGATTCAAAAGAAAGATTTACAGTGCCATCCTAAACAGAATTACATTATTAAAATTACACTGACCTCAATGGACTTAGAAGGGTGTAACTCTACTTACAATGACACTGATCCTTTCCACATTTGCCTGCCATTCCGGCTTTTTTCAGTATTTGAATTGAGGCAATGTTAAGTCCACAGCAAAACGGCATCCAAATAACCTGGGGCAACTGGGCTGACCACTGAAGGGAGGTAATGTAATGCAGAATTGTGGGGGGGGGAACCCTGAATAAAGAGAAGGTTGAACTTGATTTTAATGTAGAATGGGGGCGGGGAACCTGGATTAAAAAGAAGATTGAATTCGATTTTAGTGCAAAATTGCTTGAAGGACACCACAGTGAACATGGATTAAAAGGAGAGTGCAGAAAGGGCCAAACACTAGGAAAAACTTACACCCTTCTGAACATCACAGGTGGTAATCTGAAGATGAATTTCCTCGCAAAATTGGTATCGCTATTCAATTTTTATCCAACCCTTCCTCTGAAAATGTCAGAGTATCATTTATTTCTCCCCACCTCTGTTTCCTCCTCTTGAAGTTGGTTAGGCTGAGTGTGTGTTTCAAGAACGACTAGCAAACTTCATGAGTGAGGGATGATTTGGACACAAGTTTTCCTCGCGAGCCCAACATTCTAACCACCACACTTTCTCTCATTAAGTATTCCAAAGATTAAACTACTCCAATAAGAAGACAGCTTTTAAAGTTTATAAACGGTATTGAAAAAAGCGATATATGGATTTTTACATTTAAAAAGGTCTTGTATGGGAGATTGAATGTTTCAGATACAGCTAATTATTTAGCCATGCAAATCGTAGCAAAGCAGGATGGTTTTTAGAACTATCAGGGCAATCGTATGTGGAGGTTCTCCAGTTTAAACCCATAGCAGTAACTCGGCATAGGGTTACATTCAGTCACCAGCATCCTGGATATGCTATTAAATGCCTCATTACAGTATAAAAGAAGATGCCCGGAATATATTCATTACTGAACTGGGGGGAAAGTCACGCAGGACACGGCACCCATAGCACTAGGGTTTAAAACAAACGGTGGCTCTCAAAGCAGCTTAATTAAAACTAACTCAAAGGTCAATTAACATGTTAAATTTTTGTGACGTTCCTCACTAATGGGAGGAGGAAGCTAGAACTGGATCCAGGCACAAGAAAGGGTTGCCATGCTGCTGCCTCTTTTTCATTGAGTAATCGGCATTTCGATTCGAGACCCGGGTGCCGCATGACGGAGTGAGCTCCCCTCTCTAGTTCCAGCTCCTGCCATCCTAGCAGTTCGAAAGCAAGAGATTGCAAGTAGATAAATAGGTGCCACTTTGGTGGGAAGGTAACAGCGTTCTGTGCACCTTGGTGTTTAGTCATGCCGGCCACATGACCATGGAAACATCTTTGGACAGCGCTGGCTCTTCGGCTTTGAAACGGAGATGAGCACCGCAACCCTAGAGTCAGATTCGACTGGCTTTCGAGCAAGGGAACCTTTACCCTTACCTTTTAATCGGCATTTGCTAGGGAAGGAGGCACAGTAGAGCCCGATCTCATCAGATCTCAGAAGCTAAGCAGGGTCAGGACTTGGAAGGGAGGCTACCGAGGAAGACTCTGCAGAAGAAGGCAACAGGAGACCACCTCTGCTTCTCAGTTGCCTTGAAAGCCCCTTGCTGGGGTAACCATGAGTCAGTTGTGACTTGACGCACATATATATGTAATAGGCATTTCAGATACATGTTGGTGATGGGCTAGACTAAATGCCGATGATCTGCAGATGTGGTGGAATTAAGGCTGACAAACAGTGGGAGAAAGAGTCAGAAATTACCATAAGAGGTACCTTCATCATTGTTCCTTATACCTCCTTTTAGATTTTTGCTTTAGTATGAACAAACAAAGTTCCTTCTCTCCATATGCCACAGTCCTGATACAAATTGGGCTCCCGCACACCTCGGAATTGAATTCCCAGCACAGAACTCCAAACACACATTTCATCCAAAAGTCCTCATAGTGGTTGTATGGACCATGTAAAATGTGAATCAGCCCTCAGAATAGACAATACTACATTTGTTGACCAGTACTCTTAAAATTTCTTATGGCCACATTCATATATGGTCCATTTACCTTGCCTGGTCACCTAGAAGCCATTCTTAGTCATCGCAGGCAGTCAGGTAGGTGAATGACTAGTCTGCTATGATCTGGTGGCCCGTGATGGTCCACATACCTCATTACTGCCAGGATACCATGACTGCTGCTGAGTCAAGGCTGAGAAAGTCAGACAGAAGCTGTGAGCCACAGCTGAAGGATTTTCTCGAAAAAGAAGCTGAGGTTTCACACCTAGAGTTGTCTAAATCCTTGATTGAAGAGACCTGCTCAGACTTGCTCATGGAGAGTTCCATTTGCCAATGCTGTGCTGCCTCTATGTAGAAAAGCGGCCACTTCAATATTGACGCATGTTGGAAAGAAGGAGTAATCACTATCAGCCACTGAAATCTGGAATCTTAGCACTAAGAATGAGATTGGGAGAATGAGACAGAGAGCAAGAGAAGGCATGATTTTCCAAACTGATAAAAACCAAAATCAGGGTATCATCTGAACCCGTTCCTACCAAGGCTTAGCCCCAGAGTTTGCTCTCAGCACCGGAATGTGTGATAGGATCAGTTACCTCAATTCAGCAAACTTTAGCATGTACA